GCGTCTTAAGCAATCTGTTTATTTATGGGCACCCTACAAAAGAACGTTTTGAACGGCGCAGGGGCTATGGAACTCGGAAAAAGAAGGTCGTAAAGGCTATGGTTCATGCCTGCTTGATGAGACATGATGTCAAATTTGCAGTTACGTAACCATAACGCACCATTGATTTGCGACAGAAAGCATTTAATGAGGGCGTCAGTACAAGTGTATTAAATGAATACCATTTTTAATACTTGAGTGTCGCAAAAATCGATAAAAATACGACGTATCAACAATAGGTAGGAATTGTGAGTTCTAATGACTCTCGATAGATGGCGATAGGGGTAAGCGCACGTTTTTTGGCACTTTTTAAAATTTGACAACACTGTTAACTAAATATTTTTTTTAATTGTAGGTAATTAGAAGACTTAAGGTACAATATTATTTTGATCATGCGTTTTCTTGTAACAGCGTCATAAGATGACAATAAAAATAATCACGAACATTTAGTTTAATGTATTCAAATTATGTAAATAAAACTTGGATATTAGTACCTACGGAGCGATGTCGGGAATCTAGAAGCATTCACGTTATGTAGTAATTGTTATGTAAAGAATTACAAGGCAATTTCAATTTAATGTATTCGTAAATAGCAATAAAAATGTTTATCTATTCCATACGTTGTCCACGTGTAATTTAAGTATCGAATTAAAAGTAATAAGTTTTCTTCTTCAGTTCCCATTCTAAAGAACGTACCTTGTAAGGTACAGAAAGTCATTTTGGTTGTACAGAGCTAATGATTACTTAGACACGACTAAAATATAATATATTTACAGTGCAATGTCATTTTATCTTTTAATTAAGATTATTCGGAAATTTTTAACATAAAATAAAGTTAAATAATTCTGAATTTTTTTATCAACTGTCCGCTCTTTTTCAACTTTCTCTGGTGTTCCCATTCAGTTCGATTATAAATTGTAAAGCTCACCAATGCGTATTGGAGTAGTATCACCTAATATTTTGAGTAGGTACGTCGAAACAATAACAGATATAATAACCATACCTAAACTTATCTCAGTCGGTCACAAATACCGATCGTATTCAACAATAAAAAGAAAAAAACCTGTTTATCGCCACGATCAATACCCAAAATTAATATATTATAATCTTTTTACAATGACACAAAAACTGTTATCATCTCTAAGTAGGTACCTAAGTCTATATATTTTTTTCGTCTTCGTTCGACCGATTAGGATGTCTGCGCAAGGCGTTATTTTTCTTTTTTTTATCTGATAACCCATTTGTTCCGGCCCTAATTGTGTGTTTGCGAGCGTTGGGCAAAACGGGAAAATACTAATTTGCGCTGATAACAGAGATGAGTAATATTCTTCGTAATATATGTTAACACATAACTCCAGCACTCCCATTTAGTATGTCGCCAGATCCGTTACTAGATAGTTTGAGCTCCGAGAGCTCATCTACACGCTAGGGTGAAGCTGAAATAGCCTCATAAGGCTATCAGCATAGGTAGGAAAGAAAAATAAAGAGGTTTCATTCAAACAATGCCCAGTTCGTTGACTATATCTTATATTGTAGGTGGGGCGTGTTGTTTTTCACACGTGTGCTGTGGTCTTATTTAGACCTAGAAGTACCTACTTCTTGAGCTATAGTTCGTTTTTAGAGACATTGTGAATAAAGAACCAGCCGGCGCTGGTAAGACCTGTGCGGCAGTTCCGAAGCTCGTATGCTTTTCAAAGCCGATTTTAAAATTCTTATTGGAAGACATCGGCTTAGGTTTACAGCTTATGTTGCGGGTTTCCGTTACGGTAATCATTTGGGTTCAATTGACCAAAGATAAAAAAATATATATAAAATTCGTGTTCCGTATATATGAGTACTTATTTATGTAGTTAGTCTGCTATAACGTGAATAGCATTTTTTTAACGAGATGCGATACTAAACTGTGTACATAGGTTCAAGATAATAGACGGTGGAGATACGTACGAGATAATCTGTAATTGTACCTACCGGAATACGTTTAGTGTCAGTAAAGCAGATTTTATTTTCTTTTTTTTCTACCTACGCTGATAGCTTTGAGAGACTATTTCAACGTAACATTAACTAGTAGGTGAGCTCACGGGGCTCAAGCCTGACGACGTTGCTAACACGAACCTTAGCAAGAGCCGTGCTTCGCAGAATCTACCACCGGATCGGAAACGCGATCCACTGAGAAGATCCGGCGAGAAACTCGTCGCAAGCGACGGGTTCGACGGGAACGATGACCGGTGCTTGAGGTACCTAAAAGCACCGCTAGTGGATCGGGAGGATACGAAATGACCTGAAGCAGATTATTTCCTTTACATTTCAACTTACAGCAAACGTTTTGTAATGTTTAACAACATACATATTATAGTTATAGAGAACATCTCATTCGAGATCACATTACGACGCATGTACCAGCGCTGTGTGTACACAAGTGTGGCGGCATAAAGGGATGCCTCTCGCGAGATAGAGGCGCGGCTGAACAAACTGGATTCCGTAACGTTGCCTTTATTATAATGTTATGAAGAATTTAGGCATCTGAGACCTAGTTTTGATGGTGAACCCGACCGACGAGATCCATTGAGTTTCTCGTAGGATCGTTTTACATTGGTGGTAGGACCTCTTGTGAGTCCGCACGGGTAGGTACCACCACCACACCTATTTCTGCCGTGAAGCAGTAATGCGTTTCGGTTTGAAGGGTGGGGCAGCCGTTGTAACTATACTGAGACTTTAGAACTCATATCTCAAGGTGGTGGCGGTGGGTGGCGACTTTTCGTTTGGCGAATTAAAGACGTGATAACTAACAAAAAAAGAGCAGACAGTTATGGCAAAGTTGAGATGCACAGAGGACTAATTTATCAATAAAATCTCTACATATCAAATAAATAATAACAGTATAACATTAGTGCTGCAATGAAACTTCAAATAATGAAGATTACACAACAAATGGGGCTTAGGGGACGATATACCCGACACTCTGACCTTTACGGATCTGTTGTGTCACGAACATGTACTCTTTCATTATCACAATAACAATATAGCTTATTAAAATAAGCGAATCGCACACCGGACGGCGGTTAATTATCAGCTGATCTCTCTTACATGTAACGAAACACGGAGGGTAGTCGTAAAAACAGTTAAATAAACGAGGAGGTGTCTATTAGCGCGTGCGATTCAATGATCGCAGTTCAGTCGTCAGGTTACCGCCGACCCGACTACACGTGGATTGATATACGTAAATCTATATATATATACTAGCTGTCCCGGCAAACATTGTTTTGCCATATATAAGATTTCTAGGGAATTTCTAGTGTAGAAAAAAAAACCGAACTTATTGTAAGTGTGTAAGGATGTGGTAAATGAGTGAAAGAGGTATGTAGTGCTGTGAACGATGAGGGAATATATAATAAAAATAACAAAACCTCATTCAACCACATAATACCTCAATATAACAAAAAAAAAAGTCCAAATAAAAAAAATATGTTAGGGATGGACAACCCTAATCAATTAGGGGTATGAAAAATAGATAGTAGCCGATTCTCAGGCTTACTGAATATGCATAAAAAATTTCATGAGAATCGGTCAAGCGGTTTCGGAGGAGTATGGGAACGAACATTGTGACACGAGAATTTTATATATTAGATGGATCGATTATTTTGAAAGTGGTGTAAGTCCATTTTCTTTTGTTTCGAGAAAATTAAAGGTTACTATATTTGTTGATTTAAAAAAACAGGCAAATCATATGAGGTCTGGCTATGCCACCTACCTCTGTCTATTGGACTTAAACCACTTTCATAATCGATGATTATGCAATTTAATTTACCGACCGATTTTAAGTTGTACAAAACATGGGATTTTTTTGAGAAATTAAACACGGACTAGTTATATATAAAAAAATTACATTGCAAGCATGAATTGCGTGATAGCTCATTTTTCTCAAAAATGGACTTACACCACTTTCAAAATAAACGGTCCATATATAAAAATGAATTGCTGTTCGTTAGTCTCGCTAAAACTCGAGAACGGCTGGACCGATTTGGCTAATTTCGATCTTGAATTATTTGTGGAAGTCCAGAGAAGGTTTAAAAGGTAGATAAATATGAAAATGCTCGGTATTGAATAAAAATAACAATTTTGTTTTTCCTTTGATGTGTCCCCCGTCGGACGGATTCCTTTTGTTTGTTTTAAGTTTATTTTATACAAAAGTTTAGGTCTTTTATTTATCGATTGAGTCACTACGATCTGCCGGGTCAGCTAGTAATAATATAAAATATGGTATGATTTTGCTAAACATTAATTCTATATACCTTTTTACGCTACCTATTCGATGGTAGCCTAAGGAGTTATTCAACTACGGACGGGTAGGTGAGCTCACAGGTTCAACCTGACAGAATTTCCTAACATTAGCTGTGCTTAGCAGAATCTACCACCGGATCGAAATCGCGATTCACAGAAGATCCGGCGAGAAACTCTGTAGGTTGTGTCTATGGGTGGATGAGTGGATTGGTGATCTTGTGAATGTCGTAACATCCACTGGATACGTTCAGCTTAGGTTAAAGTTTTGTTTTGCAATGTTATAGTGTTTATTGGGTACTCACGTTGCATTCCCGATCCTGCGGACAGAATGGAAAGCAGTCGACGTCGCCCAAAACACGTCATTTCGGATCCTCCCGATCCACTAACGGTGCTTCTAGGTACCTCAAGCACCGGTCATCGTTCTCGTCGAACCCGTCGCTTGCGATGAAGGGATCGACGAGTAAATTAGCCCACAGACACATCCCACTGAGTTTCTCGCCGGATCTTCTCAGCGGGTCGCGTTTCCGATCCGGCGGTATATTCTGCGAAGCACGGCTCTTGCTAGGGTTCGTGTTAGCAACATCTTCGGGTTTGAGCCCCGTGAGCTCACCTACTAGTTAACGTTACGCTGAAATAGCCTCTCAAGGCTATCAGCTTAGATAGGAAACAAAAATGGTACTCACGTTGCGAAGACGGTGGTTCAGCCGCGGGGGGCGCGGGTGCGTTGGCTGCACCCTGCATCGCCCGGGATGGAAGTCCTCGACGGCGCCTGGGACACCGAGATAAAATAATTACATTCAAACTTCCTTTTTAGTACGATCATTGCGCATATTATTTTGCTTGTTCGAGATACGAAAACTACAGCGCTACATGGCGCAAATGAATCCCGTATTGTTGCTATCTCCGTCCGTAAAATTTAACCAAGCAAATATTATCACAGAATGTCGTATAATATTTATATTTGTAATCGATTAACATGACCATCGAGATTTTTCTGATGTATAAGATATTCTAAACGATTTTTACGTTCACTATAAAGTTTTATAATTTGAGAAGTATCCGAAAATTTATCACTATACATTCGTCAAGTTTAATGAATGTATAAATTATAGATATTGTATCTATCAATCCTAAAAGGAAGATATTTTTGTAGACCCACAATTCGGGTGCAGTTAGAAAACTATACTAAAATATTAATTAGATAAAAAGGGAATTAATTAGCGTTATTCATTTAATACCTTCTCTATTTTTATCTTATTAATAAAAAAATACTGCATTATATTCTAATGTAGTTAAGGTGTGTAGGTAGGTATATATGTGTTTTTGTTACACAAAGCAGCGTGACACCTAAACTGTTTGAATTACATTTAATTGGTTTTTCAATTGATATCAAAGTGTTAATAGTAGTTAAGAGTAGTCAAACGACTAGCTAGACGTCTAGTCTATAAATGTTTCGAATACTAGTTAGTCCGAGATTATCATAATACGTTAATTAATTCAATTTGGTTCATACGCTTGCGGGGTTTGATTTGCGTAAACGTACCGACAACCGTATACATCAGTTTGTGTTAATAATGTTGTTGCAAATAGTTTACTACCACTGTATTTTTTAATTTTTTCTTTTATTATTTAGATGGGTGTACGAGCTCACAGCCCACCTGGTGTTAAGTGGTTACTGGAGGCCATAGACATATACAACGAAAATGCGCAACCCCATCTTGAGATATAAGTTTTAAAGTCTCAGAATAGTTACAACGGCTGCCCCACCCTTCAAACCGAAACGCATTACTGCTTCACGGCAGAAATAGGCGGGGTGGTGGTACTTACCCGTGCGGACTCACAAGAGGTCCTACCACCAGTGGTCATACCATCAGTGTTGGTAGTGTCATTTTTGTTGTTGACGGGTTGACGGTACGACAAAACTAGGTTTAGTCTGGTAGGTGTTTTTTTTAAATCGCAATCCAACTAACATGATCTAAAAGAGATCGAATTTTAGTAAAATTTATTAGAGCGATTCAAATTCAAGGTTGAGTTTAACGATTGAAAAAAAAGGACGGCATACATCTCTGTCTCTCTCCCTCTGCAGTCGAATTTCGAATGTATTCTGTCACTTGTGCTGAATTACAGTCTAATCTATAAACTACAATCTATTTCTAAAAGTGTTCTTGGTAAGCGCAACGTTTAAAACCTTTTTAAAAGACACGTGAGTCACATTCTGTTATCGGCGCTGCTTCCTGTAATCATTGATCGAGAAATGAGGGTACATGGCGTATGTACTGTTCACCTATCAGTCTTCTAGTGTGACCACGTTTTTGTGTAAATACAGAACAGTATTTCGTTATTTTTATTTTACGAAAAAAATAATATGCGGTTATGAGTCAAAGAGGCTTGCTCTACCTAATCACTGTCCATAATAGTTACTGCAGTTATGTAAATGGCGAGTAACCATTGACTCAGGTATAGCACTAGACCAGGGGTGGCCAACCGGTAGATCGCGATCGACCGGTCGATCGTGGCTATTAGTCCATTCGATCGTGACAAGACAAACAATATAAATACACAGAACAGACTGCGTAATGTAATCACCAATTGCTGCACGCATCATCTTCATCTTGTATCATTTGTTAATGACCATTACGTCACATTATTTATCCTCTCTTCTACACAATTTAACCCTCAGACACAGCCCACTGAATTTCTCGCCGGATCTTCTCAGTGGGTCGCGTTTCCGATCCGGTGGTAGATTCTGCGAAGCACGGCTCTTGCTAGGGTTTGTGTTAGCAACGTCGTCAGGTTTGAGCCTCGTGAGCTCACCTACTAGTTAAGGTTACGCTGATATGGCCTCTCAAGGCTCTCAGCTTAGGAAAAACAAAAAAACAAAAAAAAAATCTACACAATAGTTCGCTTTTATTATTTTTAATATATTAGGTTTGTAAAATATGTTACTTATTTGAATACTGAAATACATTGTTTCATTAAATTTCAAGAAAGGTCATTGATAGATCGCAGAGTGCTTCGTCAGTAGACTGTAGATCTTGGTTCTAATCTAGTTGGCCACCTCTGCACTATACGGTTTGCCGTTATCTTACCTACCCATTTATACCAATAATGAAAGACACAATAAATCTATTTATATCCATTTTTTACACAAAACAAAAAGATTTTTAGACCGACTTAATGTTTAGCTTAAGGTGTGGCCACGTCAAAATCAAAGTCTGATAAAAGATAAACAGTATTTTATTATACCTATAGCAAAGTTAGAAATTACAAATAATATATCGTATTTTGATTTGACTTTTTGTTAATAAAAAATAAATTTATATAGTTTATATATCGTATTTTCACATTTTTTATATTGTGACGATTTACATTAAGCAAATAAAAAAAATACCTAGGTGAAACAGAAATTCCCGTTACATTTTACGTTTATGGTCACCGTACGTTCGCTTCAGAAAGATATGCGCGCGAGCACCTCGACCGACCTATTATAGTCCAGACAATGCGTGCTAATAACCTGCGCGACTGGTATGCGCTGTAGCTACACATAATCATTGCTTATGTGCGTTTATTTGCGCCTTGTTTACCGGCTGAATTGGTTATGTCAAAAAACGAAACTGGCAGACGCTTTGAGCGTCCGTGTATTCTGAGAAGTGTTCGAATGTTATACCTCCCTACCTATCTAATCGGTGGTAGCCTAATGTTTTTTTTTCCTACCTATGCTGATAGCCTTGAGCTATTTCAGCTTCACTCTAACGTGTAGGTGAGCTCACGGGGCTCGAACCGGGAGTGTTGCTAACACTGGCCCTAGCAAGAGCAGTGCTTCGCTGAATCTACCACCGGATCGGAAAAGCGACCCACTGAGAAGATCCGGCGCGAAAATCAGTAAGATGTGCCGTGCCTATGGGTATTATATCGGTTATACGTTTGTTGATATCCGACCCGGGTGATGGGACTAAAGCAAAGCCGCCGTCGTTCAAAACATGTTGGATTCTCCGGATTAGCTCTCGGTACTTTTAGGATCTTCGAGTACTGGTTACCGTCCTCGTCGAACTCCTTGTTTATGACGAAGCGTTCGCCAAGCCAATTGGTCCTTAGACACCTCCTCCTCGCGTCGTTTCCTTAGTGCTGAGGGTCATGACCATCATATTTCTGCAGGATTTTACTTCTTGTAATGTTCCTACAGCGCCTCCTATCATTGGCCACATGAAGAGCTTTGTGGAATGGGATCTCTAGTGTGGTGCGAATTTGATTGAACCACCGGTCTCGGGACTTGTCGGACTGCGCCCGCGCGGTCTTTTTCCCTTAAACACAACGCACTGCATTTCCCGTCGGATTTTCTTAGTGGATCGCGATTTCGATCCGGTGGTAGTTTCAGCGAAGCACCGCTTTTACTAGGGCTAGTGTTAGCAATCCTCTCAAGTTGAGCTTGTGAGCTCACCTACTGGTCCGCGTGTAGTTGGAATAGCCCCTTAGGCTACCAATGATGCATATTATTTATTAATTTAAACGATAGGGTTGCGTTTTGTTATCAGGAATAAATGTTTTGTTTTCTAAACAAGCAAAAGAGGTCACGTGACCGCGGACCGTTGAGGTCGAAGTCTAAATAGTTAGGGCTGCTCCTTACAATCGGGATGTATCAATGCTTCGAGACCGGATATTAAGATAGTGGGTCGTTCTCACACTTTTAATATTTTCCATCAACAGTATAATTGGTTTCCCGATTCGTTTTCGAGTGTCGTTCGTAAAAATGGATTAGATACGTATTTTCGTGGTAATTTAAGATTGATTTTTAATTTAAAACAACGTACCTATTATTTTGAGCGTCCCAACTTATGTTAAATAGTTACAAGAAAAATACTTCGCATAGAAACGATTGTCTACTAAAACAGTTTCAAGCTGGGGCAGCCGTTGTAACTATACTTGAGATCTTAGAACTTATATCTCAAGGTGGGTGGCGCATTTACGTTGTGGATGTCTATGGGCTCCAGTAACTACTTAACACCAGGTGGGCTGTGAGCTTGTCCACCCATCTAAGCAATAAAAAAAAGCTATTTTGTTTCTCGATTACATTACCAATATATCTCGTTATTTATACGTACGTATTTCAATGAAATTCTAAGTATTACCCATTCATCTCTCTCGTTCGATTCATTAACAATTGTCAATGTAAGTGTTTCTTGTAATCGATGAGAAAAGAAAGTCGACTCCGCGTCGGTACGTTTGTAAGAAGGATACTAGGAAACCTGTAACTTCATCCAGTGGTTATAAACGATAAACTGACATTATTGTTTAACGTGAGATTGTTATTGTTCCAAAAAATAGCATGTTTTTTTTTTGCATAATTTTTGCAACGAATGCTTTTTTGCGGCGGCTTGGCTCTGCCCCTGGTATAAGGTTGGACGAGCTAACAGCCTATCTGGTGTTAAGTGGTTATTGGAGCACATAGACATCTACAACGTAAATGCGCCACCCACCTTGAGACATAAGTTCTAAGGTCTCAGCATAGTTACAAACTGGTTGCCCCACCCTTCAAACCGAAACGTATTACTGCTTCACGGCAGAAATAGGCAGGGTGGTGGTACCTACCCGCGCGGACTCGCAAGAGGTCCTACCACCAGTAATTACGCAAATTATAATTTTGCGGGTTTGATTTTTATTACACGATGTTATTCCTTCACCGTGGAAGTAAATCGTGAACATTTGTTGAGTACGTATTTCATTAGAAAAATTGGTACCCGCCTGCGGGATTCGAACACCGGTGCATCGCTC